ACTTCATTTTGACGAGAATTTTTTTTTTATTTTCATGAAAAATTTGCTGAAATGAGTGAAAATTTAAAAAAAACGGTGTATTTTCCAGGATAAAATCCGTACAATCCGTACAATTTGAAAACAAATCCGTACAATCCGTACAATCCGTACAATCCGTACAATTTTAGGGTTAAAAAAAAATCAATCCGTACAATCCGTACATTTTGGCCACCCTGAAGGTGCAGAACATCTAAATATCATCCAAAGATGCGCACATCAGCTAAGAATCAACACATCAGCCTAGATTTTAAAATTCGGTGATGGTGATGGACCAAACCTCTGTAGGGTAAGAAAAAAGTAGATGTTAGTTCCTCATTTAATTGAAAATATATTTCGGTCTGGGCTGACCCTCGTCAGTTCTTGAGATTGTTTCTGTCAGGAAGATTAAAAACAAACATCAGCTTAGGGTTGGAAAATCAGCTAAAGATAAGATTAACAGCTAAGGATCGGAAAATCAGCCAAAGGATCGGAAAACCAGCTTAGGATCAGAAAATAGCTTAGGATCGGCAAATCAGCCAAGGATCAAAATATTAGCAAGGATCAGAATATCAGCTAAGGATCAGAATATCAGCCAAGGATCAGAATATCAGTTAAGGATCAGAATATCAGCTAAGGATCAGAATATCAGCTAAGGATCAGAATATCAGCTAAGGATCAGAATATCAGCTAAGGATCAGAATATTAGCTAAGGATCAAAATATTAGCAAGGATCAGAATATTAGCTATGGATCAGAATATCAGCCAAGGATCAGAATATTAGCTAAGGATCAGAATATCAGCTAAGGATCAGAATATCAGCTAAGGATTAAAATATTAGCAAGGATCAGAATATTAGCTAAGGATCAGAATATTAGCCAAGGATCAGAATATTAGCTAAGGATCAGAATATCAGCTAAGGATCAGAATATCAGCTAAGGATCAAAATATTAGCAAGGATCAGAATATTAGCTAAGGATCAGAATATCAGCCAAGGATCAGAATATTAGCTAAGGATCAGAATATCAGCGAAGGATCAGAATATCAGCTAAGGATCAAAATATTAGCAAGGATCAGAATATTAGCTAAGGATCAGAATATCAGCCAAGGATCAGAATATCAGCTATGGATCAGAATATCAGCTAAGGATCAAAATATTAGCTAAGGATTAGAATATTAGCCAAGGATCAGAATATCAGCTAAGGATCAGAATATTAGCTAAGGATCAGAATATTAGCAAGGATCAGAATATCAGCTAAGGATCAAAATATTAGCAAGGATCAGAATACTAGCTAAGGATCAGAATATCAGCCAAGGATCAGAATATCAGCTAAGGATCAAAATATTAGCAAGGATCAGAATATCAGCTAAGGATNTTACAGGAAAAGGGGAACTATCGAAAAAACATGAAGGGGGAGGCGTATTAATAGGAGAAGGGGAACTATCTAAAACACATGTACTTAAAGGAGGAGGGAAATAATGTAAAAACATGGAGGGGGGGGATGATTAAAGGAGGAGGGGAATCTAAGTAAGAATGATTAAGGGGGTGGAGGAGTGATTTGAACATTAATAAGGAGTGGGACATCAACTATTGACTAGATCTAGCATTTCCTCAAAGTTTAATATTTATTATTTAGCGATTTAAAAAACTCTTTTATTCTCCATCATATCAAACCATAAAATGAAGATTTTCCGTAAGAACAGGGTGACCAAAAATGAATATTTTCCGGAAAAACAGGGTGACCAAAAATGGGTAAGTGCTAAGTGTTTACCCTACACTCTGCACTCTTCATGGGTTGTTTTAAACTATTAGTTATCAATAACATTTGAACAAAAATGTTAATTTTATTTTTTTATTTTATCATTGACCTGAAAGCCTGGAAAGAAGATTGTCCTCGGATTGTTTTCGTTCTTCATCATTTTCCATCATCTACACAAAAAAATAACAATTAAATTTCTTTCTTTGCGAAAAAAAATAATTTTGAGCTGAAAACTTTAGAATCAAGATCAGTGCTTGATCTCCTCTTTTTGTCAATCTTAAGTATGTATACAGAGCTGAAAACTTTAGAATCTTGGATATTGAGATCAATGCTTGATCTCCTCTTTTTGTTAATCTTAAGATTATCATCTTTATCCACTAAGTACCTTAAATTCTACCAATCTGAGTGTACCAAATGAGATGATTAAGAAAATCATAAGTTTCCACAGTGGATATTCAGATTAAGCGATCTGGATTAAGGGTATCAAATTCTAAAGTTTCCAGCTCCACCAATCAGAGTGGTGGATGTAAAATCACAAACAGCCAATCAGAAGCCGGGAAATTGGAACTTTGCGCGCCATTTAATGAGAAAACTTCAATTGGCCGAATTAAGGACCCATTTCGTCCTTTTAATATAATTGTTCATAAAAAATTGTTTCTTTCAACCACAAAATTAACATTAATTTTAAATTTATTTCGTTCAGTAAAAAACGCTCGTTCAGTAAAAAACTATAGTTTTAAAAAAGTTTGTTCCAAAAAATTGTTTGTTCAGTAAAAAAACGGTCGTTGTTTAAGTTTGTTCGAACGATTTTGAACCGTTCATTTTTTTCGTTTATATAAACTAAAATTTTTATTTTCTCTAAACGATCCTTTTTGTTCGTCCGTTGTTCATCTTTTCTCAACGACACCCTTTTCAAGAAAAAATTCGTTCATTGAAAAAAACGATGTCCATCTCTACAAGTTACAGTCCCTTTAATACCTGATTCTCCTCCTTCCTCAAGAAATCGGGGAGTTCTCCATTAATCTCTAAACCCCGCTGATCATCCAGCCGACCCTGGGTCATTCGTTTTAGACCCTCGTATAGAGATGCTTCCTGCTCTCTACATAATTAGAAAATATTAAACAAAACTAATGTTAAAGAAGTGCTTAGGATCTATTTAATTTTGATGCGTATCCGGATCCGGATCCAGGTCATACATATTTCTTAAGGAATTACTGATTTTTTGAACAGAAAGAGCATTTTCGAACAATTTTTATTTCATTTTTATTTTAATGCTGAATCTTGATGAAACATTCAGAGAAAGGGAAATCTGTTATAAATCGGATCCGAATAAGCGTTGGTTAAAGGACTATACACGTAATTTCGAATATCTCTTAGGTAATTGAGTAGCAAGACTGATTCTCAACGTCAAACATTAGAGCTTGTCTGATCGGATTGCAAAGAGATTACGAGATATTCATGTTTTTATACTGGGAAAATTTATCATTTTCAACTATTATTTTTCTATTGAAGTGGGTTGCGTATTTCTGCTGCAGAAATAGAGGCGAAAATTAAAAGAATTAAACAGTTAAGCTAGAAGACGACATTAACTTTTACATTATTAATCCATTTAGGCTTAATAGGGACCATTGTGAATGAGGCAGGCCCTTTTTTGATAGCAGGTCAATAAAGTTAAAAAGAAAATCCCTTCCAGTTTTGAAAATGACAGGTAAATTAAAGTATTACCTGAACACTTGGTTAGGACTGGTCTGTGCGGCAGGTCGTCTTCGCACTGAAGGAATTTTAGCGGGTGGCGGCATCAGACCAAATTCATCTAATTTTCTTGACTCAGACGAGCTATCCTGTTTTCTGGACTCGGCAGAACTCACAGATTGGCGCCGGAAGCCCATATGATGACCGGAATTTCTAGACCCAGGCCTAAAAACAGACATGATATTTAAATTAGACTTTATTTTTATTCCAATTATTTCAATTGAATCCCCGTTTAGTGCATATCTGATTTACAACGGGACTCTTAAAAGCTTGTTTGATTACAAATAAAAGAGGCATCCATCATATCTTTTCTTCCATTCCAGTTTCTCAAGCGTATTTTGCTAATTACTGCTATTGCTAATTTACAGAAGTAAAATTAAATCAAGTCAATTCAATTTATATATTTTCTGCAGTAATGATAGATCCTAGCGGATATTAACAAAACATTAGTACATTAAAAATATGTAAAAATACTGCAGCAAGAGAGCTTTGATAGCTGCGAGCTGTTTTTATTAAGCTTTCCTGTGATCCTTAAGATATAGATATTTTTTTTAAGAAGGTTAGAGATAGCAGTTTGTAAAGTATGTTTTCATAAAGCTCTCCTGGGATCTTTAAGATATAGATAATTTTTTGAAGAAGGTTAGAGATAGCAGTTGGTAGAGTAACAAAGGAATTAAAAACAACAGTCGCTTCCACATTATTGATAAGATAAAGTTGTATAGGGCATCACTTTAAATCGCCCATGCTATTATTTTCATGAAGGATCTTCTGGAACTAAAAAAAACTGTTTCTTTAAGAGCTTACAGGTGAACATTTTCCAAACTCGAAACAAAATATAGATGATTATATTATTTAATGAGATTTAATGAGTTTAAATATACTTTTCAAAATGGAAATGAAGTTTATAAAGAGAACTGTGCTTTCTTTGTTAATAGTAGGAATAATCATATAAATTTTATCATTAACATTGTCGTAATTTATCTAACTTATTGACAAAGTTCACCTACAAGTTACAACTAAATACAATATTAAACACGTATTCAATGAACTGCTTCTCTTTAAATTTTATTTAAAAAAAGATTAAAGGAAACGACTGATTAAACAGTTTGAGAAACTATCCCTAACCTTGAATCTGTTTTCAATGATTCCGTGTCAGAATGCCGTCTCATCACTTCATCCAAAGCTTTGCTTTGCATTTCCTAAATTATAATTATCAAATGAAAAAAAAAACATAAAATATTACAAAGCAAGGGGGTGCTTCAAGAAAAAAAGCTTTTTTCACCCATTTTGAAAATTTGTGCCCGGAATTGCTTCTCCCCCTCCCCCAATACATCAAATATAACCTTAAAACATACTTAGCATCTGGAGGAAAAAGATTTTCAAAAGAGAGATTTTTTTTTCTTTCCCCAATTACATGTAAAAGATGGCGATGACTCTACCTGGTTCTGATATGAAACTGTGAGCCTGGAGTTATCAATACTCTTGACTCCAGATCTATAATCAACTCCACTCCTAACTCCCTGTCTTTCAACCTGACCAAACAATCAATTACTCAATCCGACCATTAATCAATATCAATCGACTTAATGATCAATCAATCAAATGAGCCAATGAGCCAATGAATCACTGAATCACTGAATCACTGAATCAATGATCACTGAATCACTGAATCACTGAATCAATGATCACTGAATCACTGAATCACTGAATCAATGATCACTGAATCACTGAATCAATGAATCAATGAATCAATGAATCAATGAATCAATGAATCAATGAATCAATGAATCAATGAATCAATGAATCAATGAATCAATGAATCAATGAATCACCGAATCACTTAATTGATGAATCAATGAATCAATGAATTACTGAACCACTGAACCACTGAATCAATGAATCAATGACTCTGTGACTCAATGACTTAATAAATCAATGTATCAATGAATGAATGAATGTATGAATCACTCAATCAATCAATGTATCTATTAATGAATTAACGAACCAAAGAATCAATGACTCAATGAATCAAAGAATCAGTGAAACAATCAATCAATGAATTAAAGTATCAATGAACCTATGAATCAACGAATCAATGACTCAACGAATCAAAGAATTAATGAATCACTGATCCAATGAACCGATGAATCGGAGAATCGAGAAATCAATGAATCAAAAAATTAACAAAGCAATGAATCAACCAAACAATCAAAATCACACATTTATTAAAAACTATTATTGAATATGTTTTAACCTGAACAAGCATTTGATCTAGATTCCAACCATACTGATGAAGGATTGGTCTAAGAACTTCCTCTACTAGCTTAGTCTGCTTAGCTTTCACACCAATAGACTTCTTGGAAGGTAACTCCAGCCTGCAGTATATATACAATTATCTACTATATTTTCCAAACTCCAGCCTGAAGTATACAATTATCTACTATATATTCCAAACTCCAGCCTGGAGTATACAATTATCTACTATATCTTCAAACTCCAGCCTGAAGTATACAATTATCTACTGTATCTTCCAAACTCCAGCCTGAAGTATACAATTATCTACTATATCTTCCAAACTCCAGCCTGATGTATACAATTATTTACTATATCTTTCAACCTTCCTCTACTATACTTTATACTTCCCGACCTTCTCCTTCCCTCCCTTCCTTGCCTCATCCTCTTCCCTCCCTTCCTCGTTCCTTCCCTGTTCCTTTCTACATTCCTGTCCTTGTTTCTTTCCCTCCCTTCCCCTCTTCTTGGGTTTATAAACACCCCGGAAAGTCAGGATAAATAAACATTCTGATGTTTACACTGCAAAGTCTAAATACATAAAATAAAGGCCGATAACATGATTAAACACAGATACAGAAAATGATCATAGAGGTCCAGATACAAATAATACAAGGGGGAATGATTAGGGAAGACAAAATGACAGACTGGACATAAAAAATGGCTACGTTTTTCATCCTTTTACATACTTTGAAAAATGATTTTTCGAGAACATTTAAACCCATGTAGTTACCTGAACAAAACTCTTGGTTCCACTCTAACTTCTGCACCTCCTAGAGTTGAACAATCCTCTGAGAGGTCCAGAGGTTTCTCATTCCCATGTAGGAAAGCGTCGAAGCTTGTGAACTTAAGCCCTCTTTTATCCAGGAGTTTAGAGACAAGGGCTCGGATACTTTCCCCCGGTGTTGGGGTCACCACTGTAGTCGCTTTATCTGGCAGGATAAACCTACACAATAATAGCGATTTAAGGGTCTGGAGACGTAACTTCAAGTGACCCTACATGTCCGATCGTTTCCCAAAGGATTCCCCTTTAAACCTCTGTCTGATCAAGGATAAGTGAGATATCCATTATATAAGGTGAACATTGTTTATTATTCAATTTATTAATCAATATATAATAAAGCTAATTGCTCATTATATAAATCTAAAAGGAACAATAGTATATAAAATCTAAAATCTACCTTGTGACACCAGAGTTCTCGGTATCTCCATGGTTGGAACCCAATGATGCTCTGGAACCCGAATTTCTGGACTCTGTTCCTCGTTCTAAAGGATTTCTGGACTCTGCGCTCCGGTCAGCAGATTTGTCAGTGCCCAGGCTGAGCCGACCAGCTGATTGTCCAGGTAGTTTAATCCCCTTAACATCAAAATAGTCTGGTTTATGTTTCTAAAGAATACAGCAAGTTTCGATTACAATGCTCGCCCGGTCGAATAAAGTGCAAACGGAAGACGACCTCAAATTTACCTTGAAACGTTATTTACTTTATTTTTGATCTGTAAGTTGTCATTTTATTTCACTTAAATTTTTCTAAAAAAAACCTTTAAATTTCCATAGTTTAAAACATTCTTATAAAAAATGTTCATATATTTTAGTAAAATTCAATTTATTAAAAATCTTAGGTCCTTAAAATGAAAAAATTGGTCAATTATCCAATTTTAACGACATTCGGGGGCGTACTCAGGAATTCGATCAGGGGATTTGGGGTTGGCCTAAAAACCTCCAGGAAACTATAGATTTTACAGATCCAGCCCCTCCCCCCACATTTTTACTCTTTAGCGGACCATGTCGGCCAGTCGCCAATGAGCCAGTCCTAGCAGAAAGAGAAGTAAAGACTGCAATGTAAACAATAACAATATCAATATCAATATCAATATCAATAACAATAACAATAACAATAACAATAAAAATAACAATAACAATAACAATAACAATAACAATAACAATAACAATAACAATAACAATAACAATAACAATGCATACTGCAGAATACAAACGGGAGGCTGTCAGAAATGGACCGCTACAACCCTCTTAATATAGAAAGAAAGCTTTGAATAAAAACATGTTAGATGGACGAACCCCTCCAAAATTTAAGTAATATACTTGATCCTAATTTAAGACTGTTAAATGGTTGAAAATGATCCAAAACCCATATCGCCCTTAGACAAAAAATTCAATATCCAAAGAAATGAATGCTGTGGTGCAGCTAGGAATAAAAAAAGAAAAAAGGTACAGATTGATTGAGGGATCATATTTGATGAAAAGCGTTAACTGCGTAGTTGAACCACTTCTCTTCAACTTGAACCGGTTCAAAAGAGAATTTACTTAACTATGTTCACGGCGTCTGGTTCCTAATGCACTTACCCTGAATAACGAAGGTCTGTCTTGTTCTACTCTATCCTTAGACTTGGATCTATTCCTGTTACCCCAGGGTAGAATACTTTTCCTTCGCCCCTCCTCCTTCTTCTTCTTCTCTCCCTCCAGGGACTCCGTCAGACTCGTGTCTAGCCGTAGCTCAGGGTCCAGGGTCTCCAGGCCCAGGTAAGGCAGGCTAGTTCCACCCATGTCCGCAAGGAGGCTCTCCTTATACAGGTCGGATTTAAGAAACCTAAATTACATGGCATTTTAGGGTTGGAAGGGAGAAAGAAACTTTTGAATCTTGAAATAGACTTATCTCTTCAAGGTTAAAACTGGAAATTTATCAATTTAAATACTGTTACTCAGCACTCAAGTATAAAAAGCGAAATATATTTTTATCCATATATTTTAGCTCCGTAACTAAGAAATCATTGATTTTAAATTGCTAATCTCTCACAAAAGCACTCATAAGTATCTTTTGTATGGATTAGATAATATTCTTTTGATAAATATTAAATCAGAAGGTGTTTTAACCAATCATAGCATCGTACCAGGGCCCAACTATAGATTTAATTCTATCTTCTACATACACAGAAGTATTGAGAAGTTTTCTAAAGAAAATATTAAATAAAATCGAGGTTGATAAAGTCTTTACCATCTCCGACAATTTTTCTGATTCAAAGAAAGAGGCAAAATTTTACCAAGTTTGAAAGACTTAAAACAGGGAGGAGAATAGTTTCCTACCTGTGTGCTCAGTTAGCTGTACTGTAAACTTACAATCGTTTACTAATATTGATATACTATAAGTTAGGCCAGAATCTCTTTAAAATAAATAAATATGCAGTACGCTCTTAGTATAGTTGATGGCCTTTAAAATTAGTAAAGGATTAGCGTACATCATCACTCTATACACTATAACCTCGTTGATTAGCGTACATCATCACTCTATACACTATAACCTCGTTGATTAGCGTACATCATCACTCTATACACTATAACCTCGTTAATTAGCGTACATCATCACTCTATACACTATAACCTCGTTGACTTAAAATGTTTTCAATACTCCCTGGACAAGGATTAACTTTACGAAAATCCAAGACAAATTGTAAGTCCACGGTCCAATTTATTGTTTAATGTACTGCGTGACACCCCAGTGAGAAAATTCCACCAAACCATGTCCATGATACGTACATTCTATTATATATCCATGCTTCGAAGAGCATTGAAAATTTCGATTATTCAGAGATTTTAAATTAAGCTCTCGGTCAATGAAAGATCGCAAAAAAAAACCATTATCGCTTCAATTTCATCGTTAAAGTTGGTTATCGAGCTCGGGGGGGGGGGGATATTTGAGCTATCTGTCCAGAGATTGGAACTTTTGGATATTGTAATTTTTGAACGCTTAATCTCGATATCCAACATGGGCACTTTTATATCTGAGGATCAATATTTGATCCCTCAATCAAATTTATCGCTGCAGGGCAGAGGTTCTTTAGAGATTTTGTGACAGGTGTAAGACTTTGTGGCAGTTATTATGGAATACAGTGCTATTCGTGCAAATTTTAAGGAGTAAGAATATATGCGGCATTTTTTGTGTGAAAGTGTGTACCGTGTACATGTACATTGTACAATGTTTACCATGACAGGATATTAAAGAGGAATTATATTAATCTGTATATGCTTCAGATAAAAATCAATGCTTAATCCCGAGTTCTAACTTCTTGAGTTATCTAAGAGCAAAATCTACGAACCTGGAGAAACTGTCAAACTTCATGAGATTGTAAATCTGCTTCTGCGCAGTAGAGAACAAGTCTGCACTTGGCGGATTTTCTTCGTTGGCCAGCTGAAAAATATCCGTCATGTAAGGTCATACAATATCTTTAAGTAATAACACGAAACCCGATTCAGGCGCAACTACAAAATTTGAGAGAGAGAGGGTGTTCTAATTATTTTATTAGCTCTCCAGCTTTACATGTGGAAAAGGTGGAAAAAAATACCTGAAGATTTTCTGCCGTACTCTCCCTAGCAACAGCGTCAACATTAACCGGTTCAGTTGCAGCTACGCCCAGGTGTTTACTAACTATCTCCTTTGCTAGCTTGAGCCGGTCATCCCCAGCTGATAGCTTCCGGTAGCGTTCACATGCGCACCAGAAGTAGATATTTTCATGACTACGCGCAGAACAATAATTCAATATAATAAATTCAAAAACATGAAAGAGATATTATTATTTTATATTTGCTTATTTTCGAAACTGATTTCTCAATAAAAATAACAAGGTGATTTATGCTGCAGGACAATGTATGACATTTTTAGAAAAATTAAAAATGATGTTATCTTTGTCATCGTTTTTCAGACGAGTTTAAAATAATGCGTTCTCTTTAAGGTAAATATTTATGCATATATTTTGTCTAAATTGATTTATACAATGTTTTATTCTACGTTCCTGAATTCTTTTTTGAGGAATTCTGCAAATGTTTGCAGTCCTGCAGAATCTCGAAGAAGTTTATCAAAGTCGGCCGCCCAGCCTCCTACTCGTCCTATATCCTTCTCTTTTCCCTAAATAATATTAATTATATCAGTGGTCGGCCGACTATATCAATACAATGAAGACGACTTTTTATCAGAACTACTTTGTTCCCTTGCAAGCATTTTTTAAATGACAAGTTTACAAGTAAACAATGAGAATCCGTTAATTGACAACTTCTCTTTAATTCTCTTATTTTGAAGCTGGGTAAAAATCAAAAAGGAAATAAAAAGTCGTCTTCATTGTATTGATATATACGACGATGAATGTTCTTCAAATATTATTCTTTACTTCAGAAAGAAACTGAGTTTTTACCACAAACTCCAATTTTTTATCCCATATCTTTGCAACTTATTGTGTACAGTGTACACCTATAATTTCTCAAACTCTTTTATCTAACAGAATTCAAGTTAAAAAAAGAGTTTTTTATTCTTTTCCGTGCGAGTTTGAAACTTCATGTTTAATACTAGATAAAGAGCCCGGCGCGTTGCCCGTGAAATTAAAAAAAAAAATATTTTTTTATATAATGGCCGGCTATAGGGAACGTATATACGATTGTCTTGTTTTATTATATAGAAGAATATTTATAGTAGTAGTCTCTGTTTGTTTGCTTGTTTGATGGATGTGCGGTCATAGCTCATGAACTCGTTTTTGCTCAAATTTTGATTGGCGAATTCGGTAGAACCAAGGGAATGTTCATAATTTTAAGTTAAGGTTGCCTTTTCAGGTTTTCAAGCAAAGTTGGGGTTCCTAGCTAATATTAAATATATTATACAACTCCTTTAAATGTTCCAAAAAGCACAACAATTACAACCTTGACAATATTTTTAAACTTAATAACATAAACCGTTAGTTGTTAAACCGATTTTAGAAAAATTAGTACTGAGCTGAAAACTTTAAAATTGTGAATATTTAGATCATTGCTTGAACTTTTCTTTTGATGAATCTCAAGATGAATTTAATCTTAGTTTATATCCATCGAAATGTAAAAAATTCAACCAATCAGAGTGGCGTATCAGTAGACGGAAAATTACAACTTTTGCGCGCGATTTAATGAGAGAACTCAATGGTATCTGGTAGGGATATATCCAAAAGAGGGAAAAGGAGCAGATTAAGCAAAACTCAAAAGTGTCTAAAGTGGATATTCAGCTGAAGCGATGGGGATTGAGGGTATCCAATACAAGAGTTTTCAATTCAGGTAAAACAAATTATGTTGAAAAAAAATCAAGAGGTACTGACCCTGTCCTCCTGAGTATGAAAGTCTCGAATAGACTCTGAATCTGATTTTCTTCTAACCCTAGAACCAAAGATCAATATCAACATGATTTGAAATTTAAACTTCAGTTTAATTTAATTTTTCAGAGTCTGTATTTGTGCAATTGAACAACATTTTCAAAAAAACCTTAATTTCCAAGACAAATTTTTCTAGTTTGGGCAATATAAAGCATACAGTAAGACCCATATAACTGTGGATTATGAAGATGACATTTAAACAATTTTATGAATATTTGATGCAGTCCAGAAGCAAATGTTTTACCAGTATGTTGAAAAACCTGTGTATACTGCACAATTGATGTGATTCATGTTTCTTTTTAAAATCAAAACTTGAGTCTGAAGGTCGGGTTACTTTTCCATGAATCTACGGGTCTCACTGTAAAATCTTCAATTGTGAGGAACAAAAACACAGAGTAATATACAATTCACTGAAAATAATTAAATCTAATGACAGAACGCCGAAAGTTTAGACGCATGACATTTTCAACAGATTTAAGATTTTTAGATTTTAAATTTTCTTTTTGATAAATTAAATTTATCTTTGCCTTGTTCTCTCAATAGTAGTATCCCGTCTCCCCACTATACTCTCAGCATCTCCGCAAATAGACGCCCTAAAATTAGATTCATCAATTTTATTTTTTAGAAGCTTGGGTTGTTTTCATTTTTAACAAGTGAACCAAAATAAATGCTTTTATAGTTGGTTTATTATAAATTCTTTAAAATAGGATAAAAATAAGTTTTTGTCAAATAAAGTTTAGTTGGTAAATTAATAATTTTTTTTAAATTAAAAAATGGAAAAGTAGTGAATTGATACCATAAACGTTATTTTCTATTTTCGTCCGAAAAGAGCCCGTTTTGAAAATCGAGCGTTGCTAATGTATAAGAGAACATTGTAAAAACGTTTTCATAGATTTATTCTAAGTTGAACATTGGCTGCAGTAATTACATAATTTAAATAAGCGTATTGATAAATTAATATTATTAATTAATTTTTGAAATTTAGTGATTCAACACATCATTTACGTTATTTTACGTTATTTTCCCGAAAAAAAAACAATTCAAAAATCAAAAACTAGAATTTAAAAAAAAAATGCGCAATTTTGTATAATTTACCTATCAGCATCCCGTTCTGCTTTCTCCTCTAGTAGAAAGGCCTGCTGTTGAAACTGGTGCTGCTTCCTCCGGTTAAGACTGGAAGCAGCAGAATGGCGCTGATCAGTTACAGAGATATTGTCATAATCAGAGAACTCAAACATACTCGACCTAAATTTAAAAAGTTTTAGCTTTTCCCTGAAATTGACAAATAAAAAGAATAAAAAACAAACCGATGAAAAGAAGAAAAAGTGAGAAAAAACAAAAAAATCAAAAGAAAGCATCAAAAAACAAGCCAAAGAAAGGAACAAAAATAACCGATGTAAAGGATAAAAAACTAACCGATGGAAAAAATATAAACTAACCGATGTAAAGAATAAAAACCAACCAATGTAAAGGAAAAAAAACAACTAATGTAATGAATAAAAAACTAACTGATTAAAGAATAAGAAACCAATCGATGTAAAGAATAAAAACTTTCGGTGTAAATAATAAAAAACCAATCGATGTAAAGAATAAAATCTTTCGGTGTAAAGTAAAAAACTAACTGATGAGAAGCATAACAACTATCTAATGGTAAGTGTAAAAAGTAACCGATGTAAAGTATAAAAAAAAACTAACCGATGAGAAGCATTAGAAGTTTGAGATCTAGGTCTAAGTCTGACTGTAGGCTCTACTGGATACTGATCACAGGGTCGGAGTATACTACTAAACCCTCCAGCCTAAATATTATTATAAAAATAATAATAAATTATTTTTTTTATGATTTCGTTCGTTCATAAAATTATCGTTCATTTTCCATCTATATCGTTCAATAAAATCTTCTTTTAGTAAAAAACGATCTTTTTAAAAAAGGTTGTTCGAAGAAAGCGTCGTATATTAAATTTTTTTTTCTCTTTTTTTCCATTTCTCTGCACGAAGTCGTTCATCGAGCTTTTAATTCTGAACGACACAATCATTCACGAAAAATTTCGTTCGTTCTAAAAAATTTCGGAGTGACGGAACAGGAAGGAGGGTGGTGGGGACTAGAAGATGGCTAGAAAGAAGAAGTGGGGGACGGAATAATGGTGGCCCAGGAAACCTTGAAACAGTCTAAAGTTCAGATGGCGAAAATGTCGGGTAAATAAATGTCAGAGACTAAACGTTTGCAGGGGGGGGGGGGACTGGAAAAAGGAGTTGGGTACTTAAGAGAGAGAGAGAGAAAGGGGCTACCTGTTTTTCCTGCCATCTATTGAGTGGGTGTTGTTGAGGATCTTTATGTTCAAGAACAGGTAAAGCTGACCAGCTTACGTTCTCATCAAATCCACTCAGATTAGAATCAGAATTGTACAAAAACCTAAAAATTAAAAATCTGTAAACTGACCCTTTGAATTAATTGTTACATCTACGATCCACATAAGTACCCTTTTACTGATATATAATACCGAATAACTCACGATTTTAAATCTTTCAGTGTTATGTTATGTTTTTTTTTTACATCGGAAAAAAATTAAACTAACCTGGCCAATAAAAGACTAGAAACTAGAAAGACTAACCCGACCAATGGAAGACTAGAAAAATAACCCGAACAATGGAAGAATATAGAAATAACCTTGCCAATGGAAAGACTAACCTGGACAAAGGAAGACTACGGAAAGAAAAACTTGGCCATTGAAGACTATAGAAATACTTTCCTGGCAAATGGGAGACTAGAAAGACTAACCTGGAAAATAGAAGACTAGAAAAACTTACCTGGCCAATGAAAGACATAGAAAGACTAAACTGGCCAAAGGAAGACTATAATGATTAACTAACATGACCAATGGAAGAATAGAAAGACTAACATGTCTGTCCACTAGAAAGACTAACCCGACCAATGGAAGACTAGAAAACTAACCTGGCCAATGGAAGACTAGTAAGACTAACCCTAACCAATGAAAGACTAGAAAAATAACCCGACCAATGGAAGAACAGAAAAATAACCTGTCCAATGGAAGACTTTAGATAGACAAACTGGGCCAATGGAAGACTGGATAGACTAACCTGGCCAATTTAAGACTATTTTTAACATTTATTTTTGAATTTTAATTTTATCCAATTTTTTTTTTATAAGAGCAGTGAATTTATTCTCTGGCTGTTGAATCTTCTTTTTAGCTGATCATACATCTGTTTTCTGTTCCTCTCTTTTAGATCTACGTTTTCTAATCCCTTGTAGACAAAGGAAATAGGCAATTTGACACATACCTCTGCTTTTGCTAGCCCCTCATAATAATTAATTCATAACATAATAATAATATCACGCAATTTCCCAGAGCTGCAGCTCTCTTTTTAGCAAGTTTTTTTTACACTTTTCTTAAATTAGATATCTTGGTGCCAGAAATATCAAATTAAGTACAACAGAAAGTTACTGTTTGTGATCCATGTAGAATTTGTAGGTCTCAAATTTCTCTGAGGAAGTAAATAGTGGGATTCTTGCTCATTGCTGATGCAGCTATTTGCTCCAGATTGTTCACATTTATCATACGTATTCTTACAGGATGGAAAAAAAATTAAATCACTGTTAAGCGGGGTTTGGAAATTCTTAGGATCCACTGTCAGAATTCCGCTATATTATAATGACAAATGGGATAAGAAAAGTTAGGCACGGAATGGATAATTTTTACAAAAGAATTATTGATTCTTGTAAGATTCATCTCGGACAGATACTTGTACATGGAACTGACATCTTGATTCTTACACATAGAACAAGATTCAATCGAAAGCATTAACGTCTTTCTGACGGGTTCAGATACTTAAAATTCTCCAGGGTAAAACAGCGTTAAAAGATAAAAACAGGCCATCAATGTTGATTGTAGTTCCTTATTTCTTTTCCATTTGTGTGGAGGGGTGTATAACCTCCCCCCCCCCATTTTCACCCCTGGTAAAAGTTTCTCTTGTTTGCCATTTTCTCTCTCTCACCCTGTATCTCCGAAATACTTTCAGGAGCGCCTAGCAGGACCTAGTTGTTGCTTCTCTGAAAGCTGAATGTTCACTACCAATGTAAGACTATAGATAGACTAACCTGACCAATGGAAGACTTAAGAAAGACTAACCTGACCAATGGAAGACTTTAGAAAGACTAACCTGACCAATGGAAGACTAAAGAAAGACTAACCTGGCAAATGAGAGACTGGAAAGACTAACCTGGTCAATGGAAGACTATAGAAAGACTTACATGGCCAATGGGAGACTATAGAAAGACTAACCTAGCAATGGAAGTCTATCGAAAGACTAACCTGGCCAATGAAAGAATATAGAAAGTCTAACCTGGCCAATGGAAGATCATAAAAAGACTTCACTGGCCAATAGAAAGCTATAGAAAGACTAACCTGGCCAATGAAAGACTATAGAAAGTAAAACCTGGCCAATGGAAGATCATAAAAAGACTTCACTGGCCAATAGAAAGCTATAGAAAGACTAACCTGGCCAATGGAAGACTGGAAAGAACTGGAAGAGAAGGAGGACCATTTAAAGCAGAATCATCAGTAATACTAGTTCTGTAAAGAAGAAATCAAAAACGTTGCTTTTATTATTTTGATGAAAAAGACTCAAAGATCTACACGACTTTATTTCTAAGATAGAACAAATGACCCCTCCCCCCCCCAGCCCCATTTTTACTGTTTTTTTTTAATTTGTGCTAATGAACTTTTCCTGAAGTCGGATTTAATAAATATCGATAAGTAGTTGAATTACAATAGATACTTCTCTAGCGTAATAAGTTCACTAAAGAAGAAGTTAAACTAGGTATACTTAATTCAACTAGGTGAACCTAGTTCAACTAGCTATACCTAGTTCAGCTAGCTATACCTAGTTCAACTAGCTATACCTAGTTCAACTAGCTATACCTAGTTCAACTAGCTATACCTAGTTTAACTAGCTATACCTAGTTCAACTAGCTTTACATAGTTTAACTAGCTATACCTAGTTCAAATGGCATTACCTAGTTCAACTGGCTATACCTAATTCAACTACTTATAGCCAATCATAAAATCCGACTGAGAAATAAATAAATGGGAAAAAGTATAAAATGTGCAAAGGATTTAAGTTTACTTTTTTTCTCAAAAAAATTATTTTTTCAATTAAAAATCTTGGTGAAAACCTACCTCTCTATCTGTGAAATACTTCTTAGATCTTCTAAACTTCTAACAAAGCTTTTCTCTGAAATGCTGGGGGTCGGAGTAGCGGAGGTGTGGTCAGCTCGGGACCTCAGGTAAACCTCTCCAACCTTAACAACATAAATATAAAAGGCGGTGCAGTAAGTGTTAGGGGAGGGGACCTACAGGGTGTCTATACGAAGTCCAAGAAATATATAGAAATTTTCAAGAAAGTTGTTTTTTACATTAAGCTAATTTTCAATCTGATTTTAACAGATGATACGAACAATCAGACGTTAACGATACTTGAGAAATATTTAGAATAAATAAATGGGCTGTATGAGTTATTTCGAGTGACCCTCAGGTGTTTGATTCTGATAATTCCTATAAGTATTCTTGTAGTAGTAAAGCGCAAGTCATTTTAGTAGAGAAGCTATAACTGAAAATAATCAGTTTTTATGATTGTAAACACTGATATCTGACTTTACCAAAAAACCTTTTAAGGGTTCCGCTGTAAATCGGGCATTGCCATCTTTGCATTGAGGGTCAAGTGCAATTACTCTTCCACATAAAAACGCTGAATTGAGAATTGTTGTGTTTACTACTTTTTAATATTTAAACCTGAATCTACTAAAACTAGTTTAAAACACGTTTTCAAAACAACTAGATAAAGTTTCTAAGAAAAATCTTATCTTTAAAACTCAAAAGATACTTTGACACTGACACAGGATCACAGGATTATCATAAAAGATAAAACTATCTACATATGTAAAGTAGCAATCTCTGTTTGTTTGTATAAATGTTTTGATTGGAGAGAACCAGGAAATGTTCTTAGCTTGGTTATTGTATAGTGGGTAGAAAAATAGCTAAAATTGTAGTTTAAGACCAAGTGCGTGTAAACGGCAGGAGTAACTGTGAGTACCCTAGGCTTATAAATTCATAAATCTTACCTCTGCACGTTGTTCAAATTTTTCTTTAATAAGTCGCTGGACATTCTGTAAACCAGTGTCCTAAAAAATTAAAAACATATTAAAAATAATTTGACGCAAAACAAAACTTTAAATGGTCTCTGTAACCTGTCCTTATTAATTTATTGTCTTAATTCCCGCTATTTTTCTTAGTTCTAATTCAGACGTTCTTTCTTCTAATTGGCAATTCTATTGAAATCTTTTATGTTTTTAATCATAACCCCTCTTCTTAAAGAGCTTTTGAGAAGATAAAAATGTTTTGAATTCCTTCGATAAACCAGATTTATTTTCATTTCTTATTCGTGTACGTAAGATCAGGTGACAAAGTCGTAACAGTAATGCCACTTTAATTTGGATATCTCCAACTATCTAGTTCAGTGTTTATATTTTCTCTACTCGTCTTTTCCAATTTTCTTACCATTACTTTTCTTATACTTGTCTTCCGCTTCATTTTTTTCATTTTTTCTTCTATAAAGGGACTATAAGCGTTATTTAAAGCGACCCTCCATCGAAGATGTTAACGCCCGATTCAAAACAGAACCTTTAAAAAACTATGTCTGATCAAAGATTAATTAAATATCAATGTTTAGAACTTTGAAAGTTGATTAAATTCAAAGGTGGATTCTTTAAAAAAGTAAATTGCGCAGTATTAGAATTAAACACTTTTAAACCTTGGAAAATGACAAAATCTTTCACATTATTGATCAGATAAATTGGCAATTGTCATCTTAACTAACGATTTCCCTTAAATGTCGATAAGTTCTTGGTGGAGATGGTAAACTTAAACTAGGAACACTTCAGTTTCCAGGCGAAGCTGAGTTCCCAAGAAAGTTTAAATTAAATTGTAAATCAGCTTTTTAACAACATTCTTTCCTATCTCTCGTTGATGTGAAACTAGTATATTAGGTTCTCTACTATTTTCCTAATTCGTGAATAGACTGAAGAAGATTCAAATTACACTTGAAATGAAACGCTTCATTAAAACGAATAAAAATTCTTTTCAAATCTAAAACAGTATAACAGATTTTGTATTTTGAAACAAAAACTTGAAAAAAACTTTAATTATAAAAACTTTAAAAAAAATCTTTTTCTTTAAATGTTCACGGCACATTCTCAAAGAATTGTACAGGGTGTCCCAATAAACTTAGTAATTAAATTAAGACTTCTAAATCCTCTTTGTTCAACGCGGCATTTTTGTTTAAATGTTTGCTTATCTAGTTTGACCGGAAATAGCTTACTTGACTAGATTGACCGGAAGTTCTTCTATCCACTAGTTGCTGAGAAGACCTCATCAAGTGTTCATGTTTGTCCTGAATTAAGTTTTAAATTAATTTTTGTCACCCAATTATTAATTTTAAACAACAAAGAGCCAAAATTTCACTCATAAAATTATTTTTCTTGCATTACTCTTTACAGGATACATGCATAAGGAACTCAATTTAAAACTAAAAAAAAAAAAAATTTTGATTAAAAAAATTATTACTATTGACAAACTAGAAGACGAAACATTGATTTCCGTCCTTAGGCGGTTATTTTTGAGGGGGGTTTGGCGTTCATTTCTTCGGAATGATTGTCAATATTATTTTAATAATCAAAAAAGTTTTTTCTTCCACTGATACTGAATACTGAATACTGAATTAGGATAAAATTCCTGTCTTAACATGAAGAATGAATAAAACAAAATTACAAAACTTCCTATTTATATAAACATAAAAACTAAATTAGATTCAATATAAAAAGGGAAAACCTGTAGATATTTATGCATAGATAAACGAATATGTTCAGCGCTCTGTAAGCATTCTAACCTAAATAAAAAAAAAAATGAAAAAAAATACAAGAATAAAGAATACAAAATAGCTTCAGATTTAACCATTTCATTTTAATCTGCCCTGTAAAAACAGATCAAAAATATTTCTATTTTTTCTAATTCCTTTTGACAAATACAAATTATCCAAATTATCTTATAATTCGTTCGCGGATTTCTTTCAAGAAATGGGGGTTGACAGCAAACAGATTTTTAATAAGTTTTGGATCTGAATCCGTTGATCCCCGTATTTTTGCGGATCCAATAGATCCGGATCCTTAGTTCCGGATATAAGCAATTAGAGATGGGCATCGTTTTTGTGAACGAACGCAATTATTTGAGAACGAACGAAAATTTTCGTGAACGATGGTGTCTTTCAGAAAAAAAACGATGGGCGAACGACTTGGATCGTTCAGATAGATGAAAGAACGATCGTTAAAAAAACTTAAAAAACGATAGTCTTTTACTGAATACGAACGTTCACTGAGAAAAACGAACGAAATAAATGGAAAATGAGCGATAATTTTGAGAACGAACGAAATCATTTTTCGCTTAAAAAAGCAAACGTAATCGGTCGTTCATGAACGAAATGAGCCGAACGCGCCCATCCATATTAGCAATTGAGATTTTACCTATCGGTATTGAACGATGTTTCTGCTGCAGTTGCTGAGTTTGTTACCGAGGGATCAGGCATGGCACGAACTGTTAATTTTGCAGCAGATCTAACAGGATAAAATAAATAAAAATGTGGGAAAAGAAACGGATCACTCAGGGGCGGATACAGGATTTAAGTAAGGGGGGGGGGCAAGATTTTTTAGGAACAAAAAAATTCATAATTAGGAACAAAAAATCGCGCCGCAGGAGAAAAATTTTTTTGACTTAAAAGACTCAAAAAGAGTCAAAATTAATGACTAAAGACTAAAAAACTAGATGAGGGGGGGGGCAAGATTTTTTAGGAACAAAAAAATTCATAATTAGGAACAGAAAATCGCGCCGCAGGTGAAATTTTTTTGACTTAAAAGACTCAAAAAGAGTCAAAATATTAATGACTAAAGACTAAAAAACTAGATTTTTAACTTTTCACACATTATAGTTTATTAAGACAGATATTTTTCGTGTTTTGCACTAGGGTTTCTTTCCCTTAAGCATGCTATTGAGAAGCTATTCTAAAAATAGGAACAAAAAATTCCAAATTCAGCTGGGGGGCGAATGTATACGCCCCTGGGATCACTTCCCTCAACCTTTTAGTTTCAAATCAATTTTATTGCAACCTGATTCAAACTGAAATCAAGCAGAATTCATAAAAAATCGAAAGGTTACATCAGGTTGCAATGATATATGAATTATAAAATAACGCTTTGATCAATTCATTCACTTTCAGTTTTTGAGTTTGAATTATAATTTCAGATGGTTGGATAATAAAGGAGATATACGTCTTGTATGCATGCAATTAAATAACATTATTTTGATTTATAGGAAGTGTTCGCAAAACATTACTATTTAATAAAGGAGATATACGTCTTGTATGCATGCAATTAAATAACATTATTTTGATTTAAAGGAAGTGTTCGCAAAATATTACTATTTACAACAGCATTGGAACCATTTAGTTGTCATTTATACTAGATATCAGACATATTGGATTTTCTGGTCAAAATACTTGCTTCTCATTGGTGCAAAAAGCCCTTTCTTATCCCATTATTCATATTTACTAGTTTTAAAAGCTCTAGCTCTTTATTTTTGTTTCAGTGTATCTTTATAGAAACATCAGGTAGCATTATATTAATACTAATCTAATAGTAAATAGGTATTTACCACCCCCCCTAATTTGTCCCGAACAAACACTTAATAGAATCTAAAACAAGAGTAGATAGAAGAGTTTACCCCGGATTGCTAGATTCTGGAGAGGATTGTTGGTTTGAAGATCTCGCTTCATCTTCCAGCCTTAATCCCTCATTAGATACAGATTCTTCAACAACCTAAACAACATATATATATTCCTACTAATGCAATCAGGATAAAACAGCATATAGGGGACGGAAACCAGCTATTTTTTTTATAACAGTTAAAACACTTTTAGAACAACTAAAAGAAGGGACGTGAAAAAAGCGGAAAAGATTATTTAAAACAGCTTAAATAGGACTTGAAAAAAGCGGAAAAGATTACTTTAAAACGGCTGAAACAGGACATGAAAACAGCGAAAAGGGAAGTGAAAAAAGGTTAAGAGATAGTCCTTCCAAAATAGCTGAAAACTAATACAAAGGGAAACCAGCTTTAAAGACCTTGACAACTGCTGAAATGGGACGTGAACACCCCCGAGAAAGATATTACGTTAAAACATATTAAAAGGGAAGTAAAAACAGTTGAACAGATTACATTACAAACACCGGACAAAATGCAAAAAAACCAGTTAATAATAATGCGGAAAATGTGTAGAGCTGGTACCTGATGAGGTGGACCATCTTCTCTATATCCTATACCACTATCACTGTTAGAAGAACTACTACTACTAGAACTACTTGATACACCACCCTCTTCACCCTGAACAAACATAGTTACAGGGACTGAGCTGAAAACTTTAGAATTGTCGATATCGATATCATTTTGTTATTCTCCAGATTAATATAAGCTTTACTTTGATATTCAGGAAACTTTCTAAATTCAACCAATCAGAATGTAGTTTTTAAAAAAACGAACAGCAGAAGCCAGGAAACTTTGCGTTTAATCAATAAGAGAATTCTAATTGGTTGGAAGCAGCATGGATATAGGATATCCAAAAGAGAGGATACAGCAGAAAATTAAGTGGGTATTGTAGTGGATATGAAATCCCCGAAAGAGGATTATGAAATCCGCAAATTGAGTTGTCAGACCCTGGAACCGGAGAAGACCTTCTCAACTTCCTCTCCTTTTACACACTCATATTTATCATGTATCTATATCTAGAAGCAATAAATGTACTTCTTAAGTGGCCCACTCAATTTGCGGATTTCATAATCCTCTTTCGGGGATTTCATATCCTCTACAATATTGAGATTAAGAGAAAGCGAACAGGACTAAAGGAATACAACACAAGATTTTCCAACTCAGAGGCGAATTAAAAGAATTTGAGCCGCGGCTCAAATATGGTTGGTTCCGCTTAAAATTGTATTCAATGTTGGCGGATTTGAGACGCGGCTCAAATTTATTAATATCGGACTCTGTTGACATAAATTCAACTGGACAGCAAATAATAGGTTATGTGCCCGATATAATATAATCTACCTGAACCTGTGGGGGAGGTAGGCTGACCCCTTTAATAGAATATAATCTACCTGAACCTGTGGGGTAGGTAGGCTTGCCTTTTCAATAGAATATAATCTACCTGAACCTATGGTGTAGATAGGCTGACCCCTTTAATAGAATATAATCTACCTGAATCTATGGTGTAGATAGGCTGACCCCTTTAATAGAATATAATCTACCTGAACCTGTGGGGTAGGTAGGATGACCCCTTTAATAGAATATATCACAGATAATATCGGATCAGCATCAGAGGGGAACTCATGACAAACTCCTAGACATATCGTTTTAAAGGGGATCACATAAGAATTATTTTAGCAGGACACATTGGATAAATATTATAATTAAAATACAGATTTTCCGTATTTTCCTTGATTTACAAAACTATGCAATCATGTTTAATCTCGGGATTAATTCAGTGGTGGTCATACCCAGCAGGGGTGACAAAAATGAAAGGGATTAAACATTGATCCTTAAAGGGGATGGTGGAGTTGGCACATTTGATGTAGGGGGGGGGG